TTTGGCAATAAGGAGTTCATGATCTGAGCCACAGTCCGTTCCCAGTCTTGTTTTTGCTGACTGTATAGAGCTTTTCCATCTTTGGTTGCAAAGAATATAATCAATTTGATTTTAGTGTTGCCCATCTGGTGGTATCCATGAGTAGACTCTTCCCTTGCGTTGTTGGAAGAGGGCATTTGCTATGACCAGTGTGTTCTCTTGGCAAAACTCTATTAGCCTTTGTCCTGTTTCATTCTGTACTCCAAGGCCAAATTTGCCTTTGAGTTACTCCAGGTGTTTCTTGACTTCCTACTTTTGCATCCCAGTCCCCCATAATGGAAAGGACGTCTTTTTTGGGTGTCAGTTCTAAAATGTCTTATAGCTCTGCATAGAACCTTTCGACTTCAGTTTCTTCAGCGTTACTGGTTGGGGTATAGGCTTGGATTACTGTGATATTGAATGGTTTGCCTTGGAAATGAACAGAGATCATTCTATCATTTTTGAGATTGCATCCAAGTACTGCATTTCAAACTCTTCTGTTGACTATGATGGCTACTCCATTTCTTCTAAGGGATTCTTGCCCACAGTAGTAGATATAATGGTAATCTGAGTTAAATTCACCCGTTCCAGTCCATTTTAGTTTGTTGATTCCTAAAATGTCGATGTTCACTCTTGCCATCTCCTATTTGACCACTTCCAATTTCCCCTGGGTCATGGACCCAACATTCCAGGTTCCTATGCAGTATTGCTCTTCACAGCATCAGACTTTACTTCCACCACCAATCACATCCACAACTGGGTCTTGCTGCTTTGGCTGTGTCTCTTTATTCTTTCTGGAGTTATTTCTCCACTGATCTCCAGTAGCATACTGGGCACCTACCGACCTGGGAAGTTCATCTTTCAGTGTCCTATCTTTTTGCCTTTTCATACTGTTCATTCTTGGGGTTCCCAAGGCAAGAATACTGAAGTGGTTTGCCATTCCCTTCTCCAGTGGACCACATTTTTTCAGAACTCTCCACCATGACCCATCTATCTTGATGGCCCTACACAGCATGGCTCATAGTCTCAATAAGTTAG